TACCTTGGGAATCTACTTGCACTCTCGTTTCGACAGCGGGCTTTTCAATATCCAGCGAATCCGAGCTAAGACTAAGTTGTCTCACTTCACTGTTAGGGTCCTTTTGTTTGCTGACGATGTTGCGGTAGTCGCTCACTCGGCACCCTCAGTGCTCCCTCATTTCACTACCTCCTTTGCAGTGTTTGGTCTAACGTTCAGCGAGACAAAGGCAATTATCATGTGCCAAGAAGTAGAGAATCAGGCTCCATACTGAAGTGTTCTTACCTATAATGGGAAGAACTTGTCAGTGGTAGACGATCGCGAGTTCTGTTACCTCGGGTCATGCGTCTCACTGGCACGTACGAGTATCTGGGAGACAGATCTCAATAGACGCATTGGCAGAGCTGTGAGTCGTTTGGGTCGACTCAGGAGGCGCGTGTGGAGTAACAGGAAGCTTAGGTCGAAGACAAAGATCGCAGTCTACAAAGCAGGTGTTCTGTCTACACTGCTGTATGGGACCGAGAACCTGTCTGCCTATGCAGTGCAGATCGCCAGGCTTAACAGCTTCTGTCTTCCTGAGAGGATTCTACGCGTCAAATGGTCGGATCTAGTGTCAAATGTGGAAGTGCTGCAACGCAACTGCGAGTATGCGCACTATCCTCACAGAAGGTCGTCTCAGATGGTTTGGTCATGAATGTCTGTAGGATGGCATTGGATCGACTTTCTAAGCTAATCCTCTGCAAGTAGCACTGGAGTTCCTTCTCGAGGAAGACCACTACTTCGTTTCCAAGACCTGGTGCGGTACGGCCTATTTCACTGTGTAACAGAGGACCGTGGAGTGGAGGAATATACCGTCAAGAAAGGAGCCTGGTAGAGGGTAGTCCACTATATGGGCAACTGCGGCGGAGTTGAAGTGGCAAGAGGAAGGGCAACACGTCGGAATTGACTAGCGACTTAAGCGCGACGTACGGCATAATCCCCGTGGATCTATCTCGGCCATTATGTTTTGACCAACATAAATAACCATTAACACAAACGCAAAAACAGTGGCAAAGTGCATCATGATGAGCTCAAGTGGGAAAGGAAAATCAGGGACAAATCCAGATCCAATTTTAGGGGAAGGACGATTTTTTTCGAGGGGTGGTGGTGGTGGAAATGTTTCATAAAACCTCTTATATGCCCTTCTGAAGGGTTTATTGGTACATGTGTTTGTTTTAAATGACTTTGTCTCGGTTTAGGAAGATATCAAGCTTGGGTTAGAGCGTAGAGTAGAGGGATCTCCGCGGGTGGAGCCATTACAATGTTTCCCAACCTCCATGGTTTGATTTTTACCTAGCATGTACTTGTACGCAATGACGTACGTGTACATGTATTTTAACCGAGTGGGGCCGCGAGTCACGGGCCTCCCCCCCCCGAAATCAGAGAACAAAAAAATCTGGTAGAAGTCGGCTTAGTCAGTAGTCATTGTTTTACTATGACCTAACGCAATGGATGAGGTCACCCTAGAGCCCTTTCCCCAGCGAAATTTAACCGATATGGCCAGTTATACGCCACTGCATAGGCCTATGTTGTACATCTTGATTGGGTGTCATTATTTTGACATTGGACATTTCTGGATATTACAAAGCCCTGTATTGTCTTCAAATTTATTTTTTCAAAAATTGAAGTTTTTTTAAGTCTGATTTTAGGAAACATGTATTTCGAACTCCGTTTTGACGAGAAATATATTTCCAAAGTTTATTTGTTCGAGACTTTTTCTCTAGTTTGTATGATATCTATAGTTAGAAACATTGTTTCAATTTTTGGAAACAAATCTTTTTACGAGACACACTTTTTTAGTTTGTTTTGTGAGAAATACATTCAACCTCCAAAATATGAGCCCCTTGAAAATTAACCGGGAAAAGATATGTGTCATAAAAACAAACTTGATCAAAAGATAGGCCTATATCGTAAAAACAATTTGTTTCCAAAAATTGACATTACATTTCCAGAACTACATCTCATCATAAGAACAAGTTATATTTTGCAAACAAACTTTAGAAAGGGCATCCCGTCAAAACGGAGTTGAAAAAGTACTTCAGAAAAACAAACTTCGAAAAAGTGTACTTATAAAAACGAATCCGAACAAAAATACTTCATTGTATGAAAATAAATACTTGATGGCACTACAGCTGGGCTTTCGTCTGATCTGAATTGTGCATCGAAGTTTTTTTTTAATTAAAGCACAATGTTATTCCTGGACTTTTACCTCCATGGTCCTACGCTGCGCGAATCACACAGACGACTCATGGCAAAGCAGTCTGGTGAAATGAACAGTGGCATAGTAATTATGCTAGCAAAACGTGCCTGTTTTCCTATTTCAGTTACCGACTTCTTGAACCGAGTCTATGTATTAAGGCACATGCACTTTGTATAGTACCTGTACGTACTGACGACGGATTCGTGCACCGTTACGTACATGTACTGTACGTAGTCCAACATAAAAAATGTGCACTTGCTGCCTAGCGCCCTCCTAGCTTATGACCGAATGGTTGACACATTATTGACAGGGGCTGTGATGCACGACGAGATGGTATGTATTAACGAAGTCAAGCTTATAATTATTACTAGTAATTATAAGCTTGACATTGTTATCAGTTATCATGGTTATTGTGGTGTAACTTGTAAGTTCCACACTAATCTGAGTAACTAGGCCTCACAAAGAGTTCCATATACGAACGCCACTGCACTGTGCACAAAACGAGTAGGCCGAGGCCTTACACTGGTCTGACAATGTCTGAGGATTAGTTGTTTTCTAAGTTAGCGACTTGGTGTTTTCCCTCCTAAAGTGAACTTTTCTGGACATGTTTTTGCTTTCTGATGGCTATTATGGCGTCCGTATGTACTCTACAAATTGGCTAAACTTTAAGTTACATATGGACATACAGTAGTAGTAATACATGTAGTTAGGAGACTGCCCACTTTGAGAACTGAGAGCACAAAGTCACTTTTCTGCCATGCTCCATGTGACTTTGAGCCAACAACGTTTACATGGTCATCGTGTTGTTACACATTGGGGTTTGGCCAGTTTTTGAAAAATGAGATTTTTGCTCACCAATTTCTCGCTTCCACCTGTGGACTGTCGCTTTGTTCATGCCGTTCATGTATATCAAACTGCACATGCTTCGAGCCCACCAATGACCATGCTTGCTCCATATCTTGTGACCATTTCCGGTGGCGGGGGGATTTTTAAGTCTCTCAATCTATCACTGCTACACAGTACAGCACATGTCACACATCCTGCCTGATGGGTGTTGCCACGTCACAGCAGCAGCCGAGACGAACGTGGTCGAACTTCGTTGGTCATTGGTGGGCTCGTTGCAATACATTTTTTGTACATGTACATGAAGGCATGCAGGTGTACAGAATGTAAGAGTTGACTTAACCAGTGGCATTCATACTAGTTAACCTGTTCCCCCGACATAATTTATCTAATACATGTACATGTATGTGCCAACCATGCTGCATTTCATCCATGACACAAAAAGTAGCCATACATGTACATGTAGTTTCTGTTAGCATGAGTTGCCAATATAAACAAAATGACTTTGGCATGTGCTAAAGCACACGCTGGCACTCTGTACTGTAGTTGGGCCGGTCCAACTTTGACCAGCGCTGTAGTTGGGATGTATGGTTGGAACCATCCCAACTATACATGTAGTTTGTATGGATGCTACGGTTGGACTTAACACAAAGTGACATACATACATGTGTACAATGAAATGCACCCAATTGGGGAGTCGGGCATGCCCATCTTTGGTTATCAAGCAGAATTGAATATAAAAAGAGCCCTTTGGAGAACTTGAATCTTAACAGTTACATGTAGGAAAGGATTTGCATGCTTTTTTTGTTCTAAAAACTTCTAATTTGGGTTGCTCATTTAGGTTGCTCTGCTCATTTCTTTTTGGAATCAGACATTTTCTTTGAATTACTTGTGTTCCTTTTCTCTTATTTTAATTTCATCAACACAATTTCATGATACACATTACTTGCCCATGCCCCATTTGTTACTTAGATGTTGCTTATGTGTGGCTTGATGCAGCAACTAGAAGTATGAATCCTGACGGTGAAGAAGATCTAATTGAGGCAGACATCCAACAGTTGAAGACTCAAACGCTTTTAAAGAATGTAATTTCCCAGAGTGATGAGTATGAGCTAGAAGAGAAGTTGGATGAGGTACAGAAATATTAAGTAGTACATGTACACCTATTCTAGCCTTGTACTAGTGTAGGGATCATTCAGTGATGTACAGGTGTACATGCAGAATTTTCATGCAGCCAGCAGGACTAGCAACAAGTGAAAACTCTTTGTATCTATTGACTTATCATAAGTTTGTTGAAATGTTTCTGTTCAAAACTTTTTGGTATTTAATATTTTCATAATATTTTTCACAATTTTTTTGGGTTACAAAATTGAAGAAGGAAACAAGCAACCAAAAAAAAAACCAATTCTAAAAAAACTAACAAACATAATAATTGTCTGTTTTAATGAGTTTTTGACTGTCCTCACTGTTCTGTAAATTTCTTTGGACTTAGCATTACCTCAATTCATCCATGCTAAACCCAACGATATATCCCACAGTGAGCTTTCTGTGGGATTTTGTTGTGAGCAATGAACAAAAGGCCGTTTTTCAATCTGTTGGATTCTGTCTTGTTCAGTGGACTTCCCACTTTTCTGTTGTATCCTGTTGGATTCAGCAGTCAGCAGGGTACATGTACTTGGAGAAAGCCTGAAGGCAGTAAGGGTTACAGTTACTGGTTTTACCACATTTTGCATTAAGCATGCATACATGTACTATTTGGGATGACTCAAGTCTGGACGCAAACATGAAAATACTGAAAACACTGGGGGGTTGCAAGAGGGACAAATTCAGTTGAAGTGAGAAACATCCAGTGTGAAAAGAAAAATCTTGTTTTAAAAGTATACTTCATTAAACACCAGAAGTTTAGGAGTAACTTGATCATTGATGTTGTCCATGTAGGTTGAGATGGTTGGCTCTGAAGATGATGAATTGGATGTTGCCGATAGTAATATGCCAGACAGCATACAGAAATACCTAAATGTCATCAACAAACGATCAGAAGGCTTGGAAAAAGACTTAGAGGAATGTGAACTTCTCTTGAAGGATGCTTCGCAAGGTACATGCATTGACAATGTACATGTATATAGTTACATGTATTTAAAGTACAGTAATAATTAATCATGGGAACAGGTAATCTAAGCATGTGCATCCCTCTTTAGTTTTCTAAGATGTGATGGTGTAAGGTTACATTTTTCCTAGTTTTGTTTGCTAAAATGGAATGCTGCTGTAACAAACACCATCACGCTAACCATTCAGCTGCTTGAAAAATCAGTGCTCCCAACTTTTTTAAAATAGAAGGAATTTGGACAATTGAGAATTTAAGAGAAGCCAAAGACGAGTCACTTCAAAGCAGAAGAAAAAAGATGTTACTCTTCAGCATTTGAGTCACTGAAAATCAAAACTGTCAAATTCTTCAATATGTTCCAGCTCCATTTACAATGCACTTAGGTACTGTACTCACATAATACTTGTACTGTCGACTTTCGTTAATTACAAGGGCCTTGGGACTTAATAAATTAGCTCCTATTATCCACACCTCGTCTTACGCGAAAGCTGCCGTCCTGCTTGACGTATGTATCACCAATCGACCGTTCATGTGTACAAGTATGCATCATTTTGTTACATGAATTTGATCTTAAAACATTTGTTTATCAAAGTGAGATATAGTTTAATGAATGAAGACTTGTAATAAAGAATAATTATAAAATGTAAGAACGGAGGAAGCAGAATTTCCACCAGTCATGTCGATTTGGAGCGATGCAGTATCACATGTCCGCGGCCCCACACACTGTGATAAGATCTGCAAGTATGCACATAACGTAGGTACATTAACACTGTAGTTGGTAACCAACACCAGAGCTGGGCTTGTTGCACATAAAAATGGGAAGAAACCAGCTATTGGTGGAGTGGACAGCAGAGGGCAAATATCAGATTTTATTTTGGAAAGGCATGTGGGTTGGTGAAAAATTATTAGCGAGGGGTACACTTTTTTCTTCAAAACTTGGGGTTATTTTCTTAAACATTTTTTTGATTAAAAACCACGATTTAGTCATGATTTTCTTAAATTGAGAATTTGTAGAAGTGTCAAAATCGGAAGGGATGATATTTTTTATGTTACGGTGGGGAGTGGGCATTTTTGGGCCAGGTGTTTGGTTACGGAACACACGTTTTATTAGTTTCCTAGGGGGACTTTGATCTTGGGGAATTTTTTTGGGGGGCAGGGAAAAATCAACCCAAAAATTTCTTTTGTTCACCACTGTCCTAAATATCGTAGCACTTTTGGCGGCACTCACTTGTGTTCAGACGGTATGATAGCTGCCACACAGAATTTCTACATGTACGCGTTAGGTACAGGGACCCCAAACGCCCATTGTTCGTTTCTCTTGCAGCACTGGACACACATGGCTCGATTTGGTGAAGGAAAACTGCAGCGCTGTTCCACTGTAAATGCATGAATTGCGGAAGCACCTGTCCAAATTGAGTGACTGGCTGATTGACAAGTTGCCTTCAAAAAACTTGTGCTAAATAGACAGTTATTAACCAAAATCTCGTAACATCGGAGCTCGTATTACACATTTTTTCTCTCATAGGAATGTGCACAACTCAGTTAGGACTGGCAAATATGCTCGTCTAAACTAGAGTCTCGTCTTACCCGAGCTCGTATTACCGAGAGTTGACTGTATAAAAAACAAATTCAAGCTTCTTGTAAATTTTGTTTTCTGTTTCTTATAATAAGGAATGGGTAATTTGGCAAGTCCGAACAACCTGCTATAAGAGTTACATGTAGCCATACAAAGGCTGTTCCATCCTTTTGGCTGATGTCTTCTCTTCATTTGTAGTTGTGACAAAATTTACCATTTTAACTATGTCCAACTTTCAGGCATTTTGCATTGTTAAGAAAAATCTTTCCCCAGACAATGCAAGAAATGGTCACAGCTGTTGTCTTGTCTCTTGATGGTACATTTTGGAAAAGGTCATTGCACAATCAGTCTTCAGTGCATTAGCAGCTATGTGTGTAATGTGTGTATACAGAGACACATGGAAGATTTACTCCGTCATTCGGTTTTATACCCAATACATACTTGATGATACAAGTAAAACATACAGATTTATATAAAATCTGTTGTATAAATTCAGTAAACTTGGAATAAAAACCACCTGTTGGTGCCTTTGTGCCCTCATTAGCTTGAGCGTATTCACAAGTGATCATTTCTAGCACATTTTTCTTCCTGTTTTCCTATAATATGCTATTGATGGAATAGAGGATGGTGATGAATTCTACTACCAGTCTGCTGAGATGAAAGAATTGGCTTTTGTACTTGGAGAGGATCCAGATGAACTACGAGATAGGGTAAGAATAACTATACCCCACTCTTCAAATTTTCAACATTTTCGGTACAAAAGTATAATGGTTGGATTTGAGTAGCTCACCTAGGTTGACTTGGCTAATTTCACACACAAGTGGAATCTAGTCACACTGTTACTGACATTGTTATTGGAATTCTAACACAAAAAGAGTTTATAAAAATTGAAAGAGAAACCCAAGTTACTGGTACTACATATTACAGTAATCTTCCACGTAGAAATAAGTCGGCATCGTGTAACTCGTCATATCGTCTAAGTTGGCCTTTTGACAAAAGTCCCAATTGTCTGTAATGCATTTCCATTGAAAATTTCATTTCTAAGTTGGCATTTATAAGTCGTCATTTCGTATAAGTTGGCATGTTTTTCTTGGTCCCTTTTCCACAAAACCACCAGAATTCCTTTCTGTAAGTTGGCATTAAGAGAAAATCGTGCTTCGGTATCAGTTTCCTTCACTGCGGTTGCCAAGAAGTGTCAAGTAACAAGTCCCACACTGCTTGACGGATGTCCGTTTATTAGCAGCACAGGCTGTGGTTGATGATCGGCCAGCTTGAGTACATCAATACCAGTAACCCCTCTAGTGCTACACGCATGCACTCTGTCCATTTTAGGGGTCGCCTTATTGAATGTAATCATTGCTTTGTTCTTAGGGGCACAAGATCAATTATTGAATTTGCAGCCCTGAGGACAATAATTAAGAATGAATTTGCTGGGATTGACCATGGAGGTAGAAATAAACCAGGGTAAATCAAAGCCATTGAATTATTGCAAGGAATCATAATGTACCGGTACATAGGCAATACGTATGTATATGCAAACTAATGACCTACAGTACAAGTCGGCATTCGCATAAATTGTCATAATTTCTTGAGTGCCGACTGAGCCGGAGTTTACTGTATTTCTATTTTCTTACCCATGATAATGAGGTCAGTGACAGTGTTAAAATTCCATTTTCGTATGGAATTGCTAAATGAGGATGTTTTAACCAATAAAACTAGAATCCTGCTGTGGTTCCTTGCGGGATAATATTTTTTTACTACAACACTGTTATATTTTGCCAACCAAGTACTACATGAAAATGTCTCACTCTTAACACGAATGAAGTCATTATGTATCTTGAATCAAAAGCCATTGCAGGGTGACCTTCTTGTAGCTATTTGACATCCATTAAAATGTTGATCGTTTGTTAACAAAAGAGGTCTATTTCCTACTTGAGCTATGGGATGGTAGACTACATGGCTGTGACATCATTCCATCTCTGAATCTGCTTCATGAGCATAGCTTCCAGTGGCTGACCCTTGTAAGCCCAGAGTTATGGTATTGGAGCTAATTGAGTGGCATAGGGTTCAAACCTGGTGACTCAGGTGAGCTACTCAAATGTATGACAGTAAACACAACATGGAAGGAGAACGTTTCTGCCAGATAGTAGAATTATCAAATTTTGGGAGAGGCTAAAAAGAAATAATGTACAGTGTACATGAACTGGTACTCACTGCTGTAATGATAAGGTGATTTTTGGAAAAGGGACCTACATGTACTACTTCTTGAACTAGATTCATCAAGTTGAAGAGCCGTTCTTGTAGTATGTGTCTGTTGGGTATATAGCAGGAGTGAGATTCCTGCAGATTTTTCTGCATTTCCAGATTTTTAAAAATCTGATGTTGGTTTACGGATTTGTTTTGGGGTTTAATACTTTTGGTGGAATTATTTGCAAAATAATATTTATGTATGACTTGGTAAAGTCTAGTACAGGCAATCAAGAAGTACACAACCAATAGTGTTATTCCGTCTGAGATACAGTGGTATACATAATGGGTGCGCTGGAGCATCGGTAGTATTGAAAGTGATGGCAGAATGGGGTACATGTATATTGTATATTTCCACGCATATGGAAATGGGTGCAGCGGGTCCAGAATATGCATATGAAACAAACCAGCAATACATGCAGCGAAACATGGTTTTGGGTTGCGTACATATTTGTGGTGGATTCTGTGTGGCTTTCTACCGAAAATTGGTTGATTTTTGCAATGTTTCACAGGATATACAGGTGACTGTTGATAATTTGGCATAATGGCATATCAAATAATTGACAGAGATGGGGTCTTATCTCTTGATTAAGGTGCCAAAAATCTGTTGAGGTTTTCATGGTTGGAGGTGGATTATGAAGTGATGAAAGGGAAGATGATATTCAACCATTGGTGACGGCTATGATGTGGGATATGATGGTTTGAACACTCGAGGTACTTGATTATGTTGAGTCTGAGGAATTCTTCCAAAGAAACAAGCTCTGAATTTCATAAGTTCAGAAGACAATAGGCCTACTGTCAAACTGTATAATTAGACATACACAATATCATCTGCGAATGCACTGTTACCTCACTTTCGTTAATTGCATAAACTTTAATATGAAAGTAGTGCGGGTATCAGTGAGTACTAGTCCACATGTCATGTAGTCTAGTTAGTGGTCCCTGCATTACCTTATATGCTTCGAGGACGGGAACGAGTCTGTTATACTGGTACAAGTGCAACCATTTATCAGATTGCCTGGTAACCCAAGCACAAAACATATCATGGGTACCACACAAAACCGAATAAATGAGTGGCAATGGTTACTCTCTAACTTTCCCGAAGCTTGTCTGTCTTGTGCATATGCACATGCTATCGGCAGAATGAGATGTCTCACAGTGAGTGTGATATTATTGCCCTGTCACTTGATTGTTCTAGGCCAGTACCGGTATCTAAGACAGAGGTATGACAAATTATCATATTAATATTATGATGATTACACATAAACAATATGTAATAATTTGAATCTCTTTTTAAACTATACCAGGCAAGATATGGGATGGAGGGGTACCCCCCTTACCTGTCCAATCCCTATACACACTATAGACTATTGTAACACATCCCCCATAGAAGTCTGTAAAGAATTCCTTAGATTCCGATCAAACAATGACCAACACAAAGGCGGGGGGGGGGGGAATTCTCTGCGTCCCATATCTTGCTTCAAATGTTTTAAACATGGAACTCCTTACATGTACTTGTGCATGGCGGATGCCATTTACCTGCTACATGTATGTACATGAAAAATAATACCAACCAAAGTTTGTGGGTTTCTTGTAGTGATCTGGTCTCACCTTTTTATAATTGCATGTTTTGTCTATAAGATTATGAAAGGAATAGCTCCAGATTATTTATGTGAATTACTTGATGTTCGATCGAATACATGCACGTTGCGCTCGACAACTTCTGGAGTAGTTTGTTTACAACAGCCAGTTGGTAAAACTAAATACTATGGTGATCGATCTTTCACAATATATGCTCCTCGATTGTGGAACAGGCTACCAGTAGCAATTTGCTCTGCTGACACTTTGGATACATTTAAATCTCGCTTAAAAACACATTTATGTAAGGATTATTACTTTTCTTATACTTGTTAGCTTTAATTTCTTCGTTTTATGAATATTTTAATTTAATGTTTATTTTTTTATTGCTTAATTTTTAATTTTGTTTTATAACTTCTGTTACTTTTGTTTTGATTATATAAAGTTAATTTAATTCTTGTATTTTACTGTATAGCGCTTTGAGATGTCGTTGACATGGAAAGCGTTTTTAAATAATTCATTATTATTATTATTATTACCTTGATATACCGGTAGTGTTATTATAGGATTTGAAGTTTCCTCTCCCAGTTCAATTGTGAGAGGAGAGTCCACCTCTTGCTATTTTACCAACCAAGTGTCATACAGAAAATTATGAGAATTACATTTGTAAATTAAGTATTCTCTTATGCAGCATTCATAAGTATAAAACCTTTCTTTTTTTTACTAATTCACACATCATGATGTGGTTGACAAGCCCAATGGACACTCCTTGAGTAGTTTCTAGGACAGTATATGCGTGTGTGCATGTTTTCTAAAAGTGGAACAGCTTTAAGTTTGTTGTATCACCAAGTGCTATCTAAACCATTGAGGGTGCTGCAGCTCCTACAGCACACCACTCCCATTCTGGTTTGCTGAGTTTTCATTTCATTCAAGTGACGTTTACTCGATACATGGTGTCTCATCAAGTCTAATCAAATTGTATTATTCTAAATGTACAATATTAATATTATTGCTTATAACTTGATAGTTTATTTTAATGCCCTACACATTCATACATGTAGGTCCTGAGTGAAGTTGAAGATGAGGAACGGAAAGAGTCAGATCATGTGAGAGATCATGTGGGAGGCCACCTGACAGACCCTGAAACTGACCTTGGAGACAAAACAGACTTACTACATCAGCAGCTGGCATTACATACAACAGGTGATAGCAATTGCTTTAGGAAACTTGGGGTCATATTATTCTTTGTTCCTTTTGACTTCTTGTAGTTAGGTTTGATGTACATTGTACACTTAACCCTTTAGTCCCTGTTACGCCGAAAACTGCTCGGCCCATTACTCACTGTTGTGCCTGAAACCATCCCAAAATCAGTCCTCATTTTGTCATGCTGTATTATTTTGCCACACACGAACAGCAACCACTATAGTTATATTGAAATGGGGCTTGAGACTTCCCCTTTTGGATAAAATAACGAAAGATGACTGTTGCTGTAGAAAATATGATGTAATGACCTTTCAAATGTCAAAGCACCCAGTTCCTTCAGACGTTTTGCGCATGATGCATGTACGGTAGGCAAACGTACATGTACATGTATGTATATGCATAGTGTGTGTAAGTGCATGTATGCCCTGTGTCTGCATCATGGCGACCTGTGGCTTCTGGAGATCTGTGGCAAGATAATTTTTGGAAGGTTATTTTGCCTTTTGGTGGCGTCTGTTTATGGAACTCTTGCCTGATCATGCAAGTGGCATTCACAGGTAGCTACTGTATTGCAATGTGTAGGAGCATTCCTACAAACTAAAATTAGGCGAAGTAAACCCCAAACGACTTTGAAAAGTGTCATATTTACAATGCTTTCAGCAACAGCTAATCGAGACTTTCAACTTAAATAAATGCCAAGCAGTTTACAAATTTGGGGGTTTTTTTACGTGTCCATTGTATTGTGTTCTTATGTCAATTTTAAAATTTTTTATTTTTTTTAAATACATGTATGTAGCCTAGCCCAGGCCTATTTCTATTTGGTCCAACATCTTCAGGAGAGGCAAGTTTTCTTCTGAAAAGAAAAATCATCTGCAACAAAATGACATTCCCGACCCCCCCCCCAAAAATGTGGTTTTACTGTTTCTAGAATTCTTGTCTTTTCAATTCCTTTCAATTTGTTTATTGTTTTGTATATTTATGTCTTAAGGTCAAAGGTTATGTAGAGGTCAGGTTGCTGTACGTGATGTTGAGGGTCAAGAGGATTTGTCATTAATTGCATAAATTTTTCTTCAAATTAAATCTAAGTCACAAATTTATAATGATGCTTGTCTTTGTATGTAGAGGTCAAAGGTCATTAGGCCCTATGTGTCATATTTGTGACGAAACATTACCAGTGTGATCAACCAGTTTGGTATGTATGTTTTGATGATTGATATCATTTGCAAAGGCTAACCTGTTCTTGTTCGTACAATTCCCGGTATTTTTATTACTTTTCTCATTTCAAAAGGTCAAAGGTCATGAATGTAAGGTTAAAGTAAAGAAACAAAGTAATTGGTAGAAATGAGTTTTTATACTCTTTGAAATAAATAATACTTGCTGTACAAAAGAGTAAATAGGACAAGCAGTGTTTCTCATTGTTTGAAGGAGGTTGTGCGGTGTACCACTGTGTTTTTCACAATACTCTCCAGTGAACAAATGACCAATAGAGTGCATACGTATAGGTACTAAGAGGTTAAATAGGTCTGTTGATGAACATATCAGTTAATCCCCAATATTTTTGTGTCTGAAGGTGAGTTGACAATGTTTGGAGCAGCAGACTTTTTGGAGCAAAAAGCTTGGAAAGACTTACTGGAGCTGGATAATAAACTGAAGCAACAAGAACGCGACATGCTACAAGAAGCACAACATCAAATTCTGCAACAAACATCAAGAGATAAACTGAAGGATCAGAACAGGTCAGCCAAACAAAAACAACATTCAGATGAGCTGAAGCAATTGCAGCAGCAAAGACAGGTAAACTAAATTCACCTTGTCCATTTTTGTCTTCATGCTTTCTCTACCAGTTCTCTTCTTTGGTTCCAGGTCTATTGCTGTCTAACTTCTTACTTGAATTGTCGTTGACTTTGTTCTTCATATCTTAGACATTCTTTCCAAATTAGAGAAGTACATGTAAGCCACCAGTTTGGGGATGTCTATTTCAGTGAGTTGGCAAGGAAGTCCTATCACGGCACACCCTGTCAGGACATATGCACATCTAAACTCACTGCATGCACAAAGATCAGAGTCTGCTAGGCCGCAGCTTTTCATGTTTGCTGCAAAGTGACCAACTCTTGATCGCAGCCAGCTTTCTAGGAAGGTTGCTACCTTGAGGATGAGAGGACCAAGCTTGGAAACTGGGAAAGTAAAATCCTCTGCTTCAAGGTTCTTTATTTATGGACGGAGGGGTTTCCTAGATTCAAGTCGGTGTGGAGCTTCCAGTTCATAGAGGGTATCATGCAGCATGTGGCTTAGCCTGGCAGCTTTGCAAAACAGTCACTAGCAGATGTTGTTCCATCATGTCTTGGGTGGCAAAACACCAGACAGGAATGGAAGGTAGCTCACTGGAGCAGAACAGATGCAGCCAGAAACTATTTGCATGGCATCATGAAGGGGCACGTCTTTGTGTACTTCACGAGTGTGAGCACTTTGGGCACAAGCAGCAGCACATGCAGCTGAAGATTTAACAGTACTGAATGATGTACCCCATGTTGGACTGGACAAGCCTCTAACTCTGGCAGAGATCTTGTTCATGAAGTTTTCCAGATGGCTTTTGAAGGTCAACCTTCTGTCCAGTTTTACTCCAAGTATGTGGAGTTCGGCTCAAAGCTGAGTAGATCTCTACTCTCAAGTTTCACCTTCAGTCGGTAGTTTGCTGTGTAGTTTTGCAGGGGGAATATTGATGAAACTGTTTTGGCAATGGATAGTTCTTCAGGTACTGACATATGATCTCCATATCAGAAGTCAGCTTCTCCTCTACTTCGGCAGTGTATGGGGTGGACACTGTGAGAGCAACATCATCAGCCTACGCATACACATGTAGCATTCAGCAGCAGTTGGTATAGATGTTATGAGACCTTTCTGGTATTATGAAATCAACCCATACTGTGTTGATCCTATGAAGAACATACAGTACGCTGAAAATTGGATTGATCATTCCGATAGAATGATATTTGTGGGGAGTAAAGCTGAATTGGATAGGTTTGCATTGATTGCCTTGTCAGAAGTTCAATGGCAGAAAAGGGTTGCATGTATAGTAATGAAACCAGTTTTGGAATTCACTTCAAATCAGCTTGAGCATAGTAATGCTCATTTTCAAAATTATTAATATTTCGATCTGTTTTGTGTTTCTGTCCCTTTTCCATTGTCTGTGCATTGGTTCTTTTTGTTTGATGTTTATTTTATTTCATTGTGTTAGATTATAACTTTTTCCAGCTAGCAAGTGGGAATCTCACTTGTGAGTCCACAGAGACAGAGAGTGTAAGAGCCTGCATGTTACACCCATAGTCCTATGTAGGTTACACTGCATGCATTTTGACATTGCACTTGAAGAAGAGCAAATTAATTTGCCTGTGAGAAAGTTTCTCCTAGCATCAAAATGTCAGACCTTCAGACTTTTCAGCTATGCATATTTTAGGTTATTATAGTCAGCAAAAAGTTTGCAACAGATTTTGTATTTTACATTTTTAAATTAGTTTGAAATAGTTTTCACTGAAAAAGGCTAATAAACCAATATTTCTGTTGATATTCTTATGTGTACTTGAAGATATTCCAGGAGAAGGCAGAACAGGAGCTAGAATTAGAATCCAAGAAACGCCAAGAAGACTTCTGTAAGCACCAGGTATGTGTTTTGAAGAAGTACTGTTATTCATGTTAAAGTGAGAAATATGTAGAGTACTTTGGTGTGATTTGAATAACCAACAGAGATAAATAATGAGACTGCTACACTCAGACACACTCTTTCCTCAAATTGGTCAATCAATTGTAAATCAGATCACATATGTACAGTTAACCTTGGATAAGTTTGACCCAATGGGACAGACCGACTTCACCCGACTTAGGTGAAAATCTGACTGTAGCAAAGATGATGTCTCTACACAGTCATTGATCTCCAAGGAAACAGCTATTGAAAGCACACATTAAAGTAATTCCATTGTGATTCTAACATCAAAGCATGATTTTATTTCTACACCACATGTTCATATACAGCTGAAAAAAGCATATTTCACCAATGTTGCCACATGCATTCATGCCGTGAGTGTCTTCATGTTTAACAAGTCTTAACGTACATTTGTATTTAGTCCTTCCACTTTATCCAATAGAAGATGGAGCTTGTGATCATGGGCACATGTTGACTATTTTCCTGCTGGAAATACATGCATGTGTGCACAGGGCACATGGCTTTGTAGATTTGGACAACTGGAGCGTGCAAGTTGTCACCACTGTATTTCCAAAAAGCTTGGGACAACAAATCAAACATCTATGTAAAGTAAAATGCAATGAAATGAAAACTGCACCTAGGCAAAACTTAACATGCCAGCCGAAAACGTTACTTACAATATAGAAAGAAATTTGATAATGGGAGTCGGGCCGGTGACAGAGCCCTCGCTTAGGATAGGAAAGTCTGCTGCTGAGAATGTACATGTACAGTATGTACAATGTATGTACAAAAATGAAAGCATGATCAGTCATGCACAAATTCCTTTTGAAGTCAAACTCGTTAAAACAATGGTGTTTGTATGTCATGATCCTGAGGAAACTTTGCTTCAGTATCTCCAACCTGTGTATTACATGTAGTTCATGTTTGTACTTAATGGCTCGTTCAAAAATAATGCAGCAGTGACATCAGTAAGCATTCATAAATGAAAGTTTAAATTTCTTCATCTTTTTTTATCATCAAAATTTACAGTGCCACTTATATAATGAATAAATAAATGAAATAAAAATCTCATTCACATATGCACTGAATATGATCTAGCCAAGGATTAACATTGAAGAGTACAATTTTATACAGGGTTTGATAAAAATCATGTGATTATTCAGAATATTGAATGAAGACTTGAAGCAGAGCCCAGAAAATTATGATAAAATTGAAATATAATTCCTAATAATGCAACAGTGGAACATCGCTGTAACAAACACCACTATACCAAACATTCGGAAATATCAAACATCCTCCTTGGCTCTTGAATTTTCTGTGCACTTAAGCTGATCATTAAAACTTTGTTTTAAATATAAGAAACATATGTTGAACTGATGATAAATAACTCAACATTAGGGAAAATCACACGCATGACGCAACAACAGCCAACACGCGTTGCGGTCTGCATCGTTAGTGAGTAGCATACATCGCATGTTAAGTGCGTATGTCACGTCCACAGCTACAGGCGGTCATGTAGACAGGCTGTCCAGTACTGTGTATGCAATACAATACTGGTGATGCTGGACAGGGTGGAAAATCTTGCATGATCTTGCATGAATTACCAAAACAGCAAATAAATGTGCAGACACTAGCCTTTGTTACTTGACTCAAAGAAATCTTCATTAAATGCGTTATGTTTTGATCGTTTTTAAATATGCTTGCCTGACATTTCATTGCCGACTTCAGACATAATTGTGCCTCTAGCTAGTGCGACTGTATTTGAATGCTACCCAGCGGGGCCCATTTGTTTAAGTTCCATAGATTACCAACAGGAACCAGTGTAACTGTGCAACCAAGTTGCTGTACATGTCAATTTCTTCTTTGTTATAAAGATAATCACTTGCTTTGGGGCATGTGATTAGTAAGGGAGATTGCAGCATACCTGTGTACAAAAATTGTGTATTGAATTGGGGTGAATTTTTATGTGTGGCCTTTGACAGAAGTGGCAAGTTTCTTTTGCTGTCCAGTGTACCTGTAAGAAAATACAGGTTTTTTTCCTTACTTTTTTTAACCTATTTTGCATGTAGATTTTTTGCCCTAAATCCTTATACCAAAACAATTTGCGGGGCAGGCCAGCACATGTTTGAATATGGGATGGAATTCAGAACAGGGGCCTGTGTCAGTGACTGAAAATTGCTATACCAAATGACCTCTATAGTGAACATTTTGTGTGGACACGGCCATGTTCATTATAGGGACATTCCACTGTATATGATTTTTAAAATAATTGTTACTTGTGTTTTTAGTTTAAAGGTTTTTTTTGTTTGATGTTGAAATGGAATATATCCAGATTGGAGCAATGTCATACAATCATTCCGTAAAGGACCGTGAAAGGGTATTTCTGTCTCAAGCCCCAAAACTCCAGTCCTGTATGTAGTATCAGTTTTCAAACTAGTCTTCATTCATTAAAATTCTTGTTAGCATTCAACTGAAATTCAGTTGTCAGCTCTAGAAAGTACATGTGCAATATGATACCTTGAACATTTCTGTTTGCTGAGGAGATATTACACTTTGGCACCCGTGCATTAATGTGTTCTGCGTTTTAGGCTGAAATTGAGAGATTTGCCCAAGAGACAGAAAAGGAGAAACAAGAGTTTGAACATCATCTTGCTGCTGACAGGGAGTTTAAACAGAGACAAAGATTGCAAGCAGCAACACTCATTCAGGCTGCAGTGCGCTCATATAGGTGAGACATTTGGGGAGAAATCTAGGAAGTATATTGTGAAACCAAACAATTCCATGAAGAAATCTGTTTTGTTTGTCAAATTATAATCAACTACTTTTAGTTCAGGGTTAATGGTTATTATTTCGGGCAAAAATAGCTTAATTGTTGTGAAGCATTTTCAAGGTAAATGTGGCCTTTGATTGCTATTAATGACCACATGTCTTATGTTTGAGGAATTTTATTTAAATTTTATAAGTAAACTGATATGTTTGTTAAGATGCATCACACATTTTGGTCTCCAATCAGTGGATATCTTTGATTTACATTATGTAAGATTTGTTTGAAGGCCATTAACTCAAACCTGTAACTTGTGACTTGTTTTACTTGGTTGGGTCACATTTGCATTTGCTCTACATATTTACAGGCAGTGGAAAAGCTTGTGTGTGTATTTCTTGGTATTCCGTTTTTAATGTCTTTGTGTTGATGTGTCATTCTGTGTCCCGTGTAATAACTTGGTTTTTATTCTTAAACAATGTAAAATAAATGGCAACATAAATTGTACACCCTGTTGTCATTAAGCCAACTCATTTTATAAGGCTTTAGAATAAAATCTACTTTGATTTGGTCAGAACAGAAATCTCCTGTTTATTTTGATGGCAAATAGTTCTCACGCTGTATATTTTTTTCACAGAGTTAGAAGGAAGTACCTTCCTCGATTAAAACGGTTGAGAGAAGAAAGACAACAACGACAGCTTCAGAATAGACAGATGGAGATTGTTGCCTTGAGAAGAGCTGAAGAGCAAAGGAGGAAGCGAGAGAGAGAAGAAAAGAAAAAAAAGGAAGAAGAGGAGAGGTTTGTGTTGAT